CTAACAGCCGTTCGTTGAATATGGGAACCGGGCATTAATCATGTTAATTCTTGGTACTTAAACTATTATGACAATAACTATATTTCTTTTAATTTATATTACAATATTATAAATTGATATGTAATTGATATTTAATGAAGGAAGTATATCCAACATTGCCTCCTTAATTCCACATAAGTATGAGGACCTCGGCAATCTTCATGTGTCATCAAGATATTTCAGCTAGTCCAGCATCACGTTACTTGTGGACCAAACAACCTTAGATTTCAAGTACGTATGCAGATGTATACTATGCAAATATTGGGGGTTTGAAAGTAACAGTTAAATCCATAAATCCAAAAGAGAAAATGAACACCTAAGAAAAAAAGGAAGAGAAAACGTTCCTCTTTCCTATTTATTTCCTGCGACAATATTTCAGAGTACAAATTCAAAATCGACGAATTCTAAAAGCAGAGTATATACTTCGCTATGGGAACGAGCAATGCAACAGGAAGGCTCAAAAGGTACGTATAAGCCTGGCCCGAGTAGAAACAGCGTGTACTGTAAGCCGTAATACCGTCTGGTGGAATGCCTTTGGGATATAAAAGAAGAATGCACTCGTACTTATGTATTTTGGGCGGTTGCTGCATTTCAGGTCGCAATCTTTGTCTCGGAGGAGTGTTTCCGTCGAAACCCGAATTATTTGATACGAATAAGGTCTTTGGAGTAAACATATTTCTTAAACCTATTTAGAATATTTTTCATCTTTCCCAAGCAACTGAGGCGGCTATTCGGGCAATAGCTGATGGCCTCGTTGGACGGTTATATCGACTTGCTAATGCCAATAACTATATAGCCTCTTTCGTCAGGCGTCCAGAAACTATGACTTTAAGGGTTTAAGGTTTTTAATGTAATAATTGCGTGCTAAATTATTATTTACGTTTTTTGCAAATGTCCACGGGCGGCGGTTATCACTTAACATCAAGTGAACCGCCATTTCGTTTGCCACCTTCTCACTTAAAAAAAATTCAAAATTTATTTTGATAGACTAGATAGAACATCTAATTTATTCAATATTTTAATATAAAAATGGCATAAAGATTAATAAGTATAATTACTTAACAAAAGTTTCGATAAGAAAGAAGATTTATGTTACCGGGCAAATAGAAATCATAATAACAAAGTCATGATATAGATACATGAACTGTCAGAATAAGAATCGAAAAGATTAGATCAACCATAAAACTAAAAAATTGAAACAGACTTCGGTAAATGTTGATATTCCTATAATGCAAAACCAGTACCTAATTTAAAAAAAAGTTATGCAAAATAATGAGTTTTTGCGGTGGAGAATCGTGTTGCGATTATATAAATAATCTTTTTCATAGCACTGATAAGTATTATATAACAGGAAAACTAATTGTAATGATAATATATTTAAATTGGTCTCTGTATCGGTATCATTATTGTGAATGTGTCCTATAACTTATTTAATAGATCATTAATGAATTGTTTTATAGATTTTCTTATGTTTCCTAGTGTGTTATTGGATATCAAGTCATAGTAATAACAAATGGTTTTTAACGTAAGTAATCTCGGTGGTAGGGCCACACAGCAGCCTCAATAATTATAAAGAAGAAACACATTTCCTTCCCATTGATCAGTTTCGTCCTTAAAATTCCAACACACTTCAGATCGCAATCCCAACATTAAATTTTATGTTCATTTCGTGACAGTAACTCACTAGTATCACATCCTTCTAAGACCAGATTTCCTTCTTGCGTCATCAGAAATAAAAGTTTTGATTCAATGCCACGATATTTTAAAGAGAAATAGTTTATGAGCATACTCAAACCTCGCGAGTCATATAAAGTTTTTTATCCTTTGTCGTTTGATTTAACTGTAACTTATTAAACAACGCAAGTCAACCGCAATAAAACAAACTTAGTAATTTTACTAAATTTGTATCTGATACATTGCCACTTCTCCTTCAACATACATCAACGAATTGATAAGTTGAGATATTCACAGGCAGGTGGAAGACGTGTTAAAGTACTGAATAGGAAACTTCATAAGGTAACATAAATTTGATGAAACTGAGGCCATGCCACTTACTCTCCTTGTTTTGTACACGAATAATCTGCACATAGTCTCCGGGCTTATCTGCTATCGGGAACACAATAAGTGCTTCGTTTTACATTTAGGCATTTTAATTGACACGGATAGAACTCCGAGCACTTACAATTTTATCCATAAAATGATTACATAATATTACCTTTCAATTAAAGTTGGCTATTTGATGCGTCTGTATCAAGATAGGTTATAAAACATCTGCTAATCTTTCATCTTCAAATTTATAAGTAAGTCAGGTAACCGCACCCCATTATTTTTAAGGTTTTCAACGCATCTGCAAGCCCGCAGCTGTTGTAGATGTTCATCACGGGAGCAGTAATCACTGAACATTAGGTGAACAAACCTTTCTTCTTTGGTTGGTAGCATATCTTTAGTCTTAAGGTATGCTTTTATTAGAATATTCGCTGGGCGATGGTAACCTCCATCTTATGCCATCAAGATAAATCAGATGATCCGTTGAGTCGACTGCCATTTTCAGAACCCAGAGTCCATTTTTAGTCGCTAGGCCATTTTTCCTTTTGGACCATCACAGCTTCGTAGCAGACCAGTGCTCTTCATCTCCACCAGAGTGAACTAGTGGGAGGCCTTCCATTCATTCATACACTGTATGTAGTTTTCACATATCAGAACTCATACACATTTCACTCCCGAGCAATAAGTAATAATTTCAGTATTTTTATAAATAGAATAGGATAAAAATTATAATGTAATTATGCATATTTTTATTTATACATATACATTATAACCATTTTATTTCGTACTTATCATTCATTCCACCTATATAAATAAATATTTAGTTCATGATACAGATATACTGTTCCGTCAATCCGTTAAAGTACTCGTTTTTCGTTGACATTTTGTTCACCAACTTTCGATGACTTGAAAATCGGCATCTTCAAAAATAGTCAATGCACAAAGTACTTTTAGACGACATGAGTGGTTTTGTGAGTGTATGTTTTAAGTTATTCTTTTCTTTTCGAACGTTACTTTGTACCCATTACAAGAGCATGATAGAATAAATTAGTTTTATACTACCCTTGCTTTTTTTTTAAATCAGTACAACTTGACAGTAAAGGGCATTAATCCCCAAATAAATATAGTATGTTTAAAACTACCATACAAACTCGCTAAATGTTTTTTTCGGAAACAGCGTAGTTTTCTAAAGAAAATACAACTACCCAAAAGGAGAGTTTGCCAGATTTCCTTTCGGGTGCGTTCCTAGGGAACGGTGAACATCGTCCAGACAAGTGTGATATCGTGATCATACAATCCATCGTCATTACAAGATCCACGATCCACTGCCAACGGCTCGATGCCCTTCGAGGTAGGCCTTCAAGTTACGAATGGTTGCTTTGACTATGAATTCTCCCCTTAGTTGGTTCTTTTAAGTGATTGATTTCGGTTTGATGGGAAATGCATCAGGGGGAATCGTGCGAGATTTATGAAAGATATGTGCTATTGGAGGGGAAGGGGAACTCGGTTGAATGCTTGCGTGACGTATGGAAGGATAGGTCTCGCAAAGTGTACGCTTGCTTCCCGCGTTGTGTTCGCCAGTAGCAGATATGAGGCCCTTACACGGCTGGACCTGGTAAAGAGTAAACCTCACTAAATAATCCGTAGATTCTGATCCGTAGTTCGTTGCGTGGCGTAGGTTCGAAAAAGCGGCTGTATCGATCGAAAATTTAGACATTGGGGGCCACCACTGAACATAATCTCGACCTCTAGAAGTATGTAAAGTTGCACTAGCACAGAACAAGAAGACCAAGAAGACCATAGTCACGCCGGGGTCGCGGAGGATTGCGTTTTTATGGTCCCGTTTCCCCAAACGATGTGACATGGATAACTAGGACTCCCACATACCGTCGAACTACCCCGTTTCTGTTGTAGGGGATCCAGAAAGGATGCTTATAATGCATGTTCGAAATAATCATGGTATCCGTAATACTGTTATTTTTTTATGTTTTTAGGAGAAGATATGTGAAGTCGGTTTGTTTTTTGTTACTAAAAAGTTTTACTCGATTTCAAATTAAATGAAATATTAACTTAAAATAAATTAAAACTTATCTTTAATCGAATAAATCTTTTTAGTTATATTATTACTCTGTTTGCACCTTGATTGAAATAGTGTTTTTATTATATAAACACTATTATGATAATAATTGGAAGATCAAGGATAATCTCAAAATTTCGTAAGAATCAAATAAATCCAGTATCAATTAATCAAGTACTCCTGAACTGTTCTCAGGTGTTAAATGTTGGCAGCATGTGGTTTGTACAAAAGTTTAAACTACTTTGTATAATTTTTTTTTGAGATTGCCTGGGAGAAGTAATGTCGCCTTTGCTACAAATATTTGATAAACAGTTTGTTTTTTTGGGTTTTTTTCTTTTTTGACGTGTAATAAAGTATATTATTATTTTTCTCAATTTCTCAAGTTCTTTCACAAATTAAAATAATACGACTTTTATATTATTAAGTCACGTTGAACGTAATTACCGCAAAAAGTGCAATATTTTTTTAAAATATATTGGTCAAAGGAAACTGTAAAAAAAAACTTCCTTACAAATTAATATATTACTTATAAACCTAGACTTCTCAAAACTATTCAAGAAGTGTCAACTATAACTATTAAAGTTTTACAAAATTAAATCCTTGCAGTCTTTTTCATTCTACAAAATTGTTCAAAAATGATAAATATTTCTGATATCATTCCAATTTGACTATAACAATACTTTAAAGTGCCTTACATTCTTCATTATATTCTTCGCTCATTTACTCGTTTGAATATATAAGCGGCTTTTTCGAGATACAATCGACGTTTATACATCACTTGTCTGTCACTCGAGCCGAATAATTGTAAGAAAATGTTTGCACGAATATCTTTGGTCTACTTCTTTTCCAGATTGCTCTTTGAATATGCATCTTTGGCAACTTGGAACAACTGACGACTATTTTTCTCTCCAGTTTCACGGACCATGCTCGAGAAACTGCTATTAGGATCCGAGAGCAGCCTGTAGGGATGGTCGAATTCGGCAACACTGCCGCTACTCATCACTAGGACGCGGTCTGAATCCATGATGGTGTTCAACCGATGCGCAATAGTGAGGACAGTGCACGAGGCGAACTGACGCCGTATCGTTTGCTGGATGAAGTTATCCGTCCTGTAACGGGGAGAACAATTGTTGAAATTATTACAATAAATAACAAATAAAATATAATACTTGATAAGGACCGATAAAAGAGACTTATAGAGATCAATTGATCATCATTCAACTTAATAATTTAACCTGTTTGAGTCCACTGCTGAGTTATGTAGGTCACTTTCAATCGGTCAATTTCAATGTCGATCAATCGATGCACAGTACTTACTGCGGATCTACGTTTGCCGTAGCTTCGTCCATGATTAATAATTTATTTGATCGCAGCACAGCTCGTGCCAAGCACATGAGTTGTCTCTGGCCCACAGAGAAATTAGCACCGCCTTCTGTTACTTTAAAATCTAAAGAGGGAACCGCTGACTTCATGTCTACCTGCAAATAAAAAAAAATTAAGAAAAAATATATTGTATCCACTAAATTTGCTTTTTCTATTATTACCTGTTCTAGAGCTCTCCAAAGATCCTCGTCGCTATATATATTAAATGGGTCAAGATTGTATCTAATTGTGGCTGAAAATAAAACTGGTTCTTGCGGGATGATGGAGATTTTAGATCGCAAGCCCTGAAAAGTAAATAAGTATGCTTTCTTGTTTGCTCTTTAAATCACACAGAACATGATTCCAAGTAACAATTTATTAATTAATGGAGATGATTTAAAAATAATAAGACGACATTTTTATTAGAGATGGCAAAGAAAAAACAGGAAGAGAATAGGTCAATCAATCAGCAGACTAAATGCAAACATTAGTTAATACTTGGCACCGTAATCTTTGGTGTGGCAGAAAAAGAGAAGCTTCGTTGAAATCTCCGCATGGCACATAGAATTGTGCCGAGTCTTTATGATTTTTATATGATTTTGTGTTCATGGAACTCTCCTCTTCGCAGGTTTTACTTCAATATGCGGAAATCAGTTTAAAAAAGACAGACACCTGTTTTGAGATCATAGCGGTGTCGATACCGTCTATAGATATGGTTCCATCGATATAGGCAAAACGGAATAACGCAGATATTAGGGAAGACTTGCCGGCACCAGTCCTGCCAACAATTCCCACCTATAACGAAATAATAATATTAGTGCATTCCAACTTTCAGTGATTATTACTTTAAACTGTACTAATATTTGAAATTTGCTTATATAGTTTTCTTTTTGTCAGTTTGTATCTAATCAGTATACCACGAATCCACTGCATCGATTTGGCTAAACTTTTTCAATAATGAAACGCTACATTACACCTAAGTAACACAAGCAATGTTTTCTTAAAATAAGACAATTGAAATATCCCTATTATTGAGTCAGTAAAAAGCAGAAAAGTTGAAGTCATTGACTGTAATATGTATGTAATTGATATGCAATCGTTAAATAGGTGTCAGCGTCTTTACTATAATTATATTAAAATATAACAGAAATGCTAAATGTGCAAGCATTTATATTATAATTATAAGGTATATGAGGAACCCTTATAACACTCGCTTGTCAGTCTGTCTGTCCGTGTGTCATCCCCGATTTTCTCCGGAACGGGTAGACCTAGCAAGTTGAAATTTATACCCAATACTGTGGTCTATAGTCCTTATTAGGTGTTTAAAAGTCAAGGCCCTGAGTCAACAGGATACAATGATATGGGCAAATTTAGCCTGTTTTTCCTTAAAAGCCATAATTTTCAAGGATTCCAATTTTTCGGAATTTTTACTTTACTTGTTCTATAAGACGTTGCTTTTAACCAAAATTGACAATTCTAGAGCAACCGGAAGTACCCTATATGTTTTGGGTCGAAAACCTTATATGATAGTTTCCCTTGACCTAGAATCACGAAATTTGGCAAACTGCAACTAGTGATACAGCACAGATAAAGGGAAACATCAGAAAAATAAAAAAGTTGGAAATTAAGGGATATTTTGGTGGTTACAAGTTTTTGCGAAAATCTAAATATGACCACAGCTTTTTATCGTGCTGACTCTGGGCCTTGATTTTTTTACACCTAATAGGGACTATCTAACTGGACCTGCGTATCTATAAATTTCAACTTGCTACGTTCATCTGTTCCAGAGAAAATTGGTGGTGATTACTTACCAATTTTACTGTGGCGGTATAACGGTTAGGTACGGACGGAACCCTCGGCGACTAAGAATTCGACTCGCACTTGACCGGTTATTTACTACTTTGTTATGTAGAAACGTTAGACTCTAGATTTGTCCATTGCTAACTTTTTAATGTTCAGTTCTATTTTTATTTACCTTCCAACCACTATTAATGACTAGGTTTAGGTTCTTGAGCACCGGAGCTTCATTCGGGGCATAACGTAAGCTCACATCTTGAAATACAATCCTTCCCTCTGAAAGCCACGTCGGTGGGATTGGTGTCGCTGCAAGAATTACCACAATTCTTTATAACCTTATTTTTTGTCGGATTTTATAGCCCAGTAACAAGGGTCTTTAGGCCTCTTTATAGCCTTCTTCAACAATGTAAACTTTAAAATCCTTAAGAATAACACATAGGTGAATAAAATTTTTCTTCATGAACTAATTTGTAAATTTTAGAAAAAAACATGTATATTATTAAAAAAGTTTTAGACACACGAGTATCGTACAACGTCCTTGACCTAAAATTAAAGTTGTCTTATTTATACTCTTGACTCAGAATACAAGCAAGCTACAACTTAGTCAGTTCACTAGCCATATGAAAACTACTATTTCTATATGAAAAGGCTTTTTATAGCGTCTCAGTTAAAACACAAAAGGTATATTTGCAGTACCAGCAAATACAACGTTCGGACGTATTATTAATATTTACGGTACTGTTCAATTTTGAATTTCTTTCATTAATTTCTAAATATATGCCACTATTTTTCATTTTGTTATGTTTATATTGATGATAGTGTTACAAGTTGTAAAATAAAGATTGTATATAGCGTAAACTGTATAGAACATAAAAGTAATGTTTCTCGCCAAGATTTATCGCATTCTGACTGATGTGTAAGAAATATCCAAAATTAAAACTATCTATCATTTAACTTCGCGCTATACGTACATAATTAAATAATTTTCCGTAATTTCCTGATTTTATCTACGTTAATATAAGTTATATGACTACACCAAATTTTACAGATCTAAGGAACCCTTGACTTACGTGCGTCGAATAGATTTTTTTCGGTTTCCACCCGGGTGTACTCCAGTACGCGCTCGACACTAGTAAGCTGGGCCAAGTACTCTACTAACATGCGTGCGCCATGTTGCAACATTGCAGTGAGAGTGTTACTCTGGGTCACCGCCAGCCCCACGCTGCCCACTGTCATCACATCACCTGAAAAGGTCAATTGAAATCAGTATCGTTCAAAAATATATTAATTCAGCACAACATAGTAGGTATATTAAATCCTAATCATCACTCAGTCTAACGCTGGCAAGAGATACTTGCACTAAGAATCTATTAAGTTAAGTTCCTGACTTTTCATAAGCTCTTTGTCTGAAGTCCTCAAAGATAAGGAAATACCATATGTAGTATGCTATTTGCTCATATCATTGCGCTAATGGATGAAAATAGATCTAAGGTAAAAACACACAATACTAGTATACAAAGTAGAAGTCTTACGATACAGGCCACACTTATGGTTTGCTGATCCAATACTAACTAAACACATGCTCCGAAGTCATGTTAATCTTTCCAATTTATCTCTATAGCGATGCTTCACCAATCATCTTTGAAACAGACTTAAAGTACTTAAATTCATTGGTACGGGACGTTGATTAAATAAGCCTAACGTGACAATGGAAATGAGGCAGATCAATGGAATTCCTAAATGATTTGTTGGGCCGACACCAAGTAATTATGAAAACATAGGATTGGTGATGATATTGTTCCATTTTCCCGGGAACATATTTAAGAACTTAAAAAAAATTTAAAGAAAAGCAGTTAAACAATGACATAAAATCTCACCGAAGTCAAGGTATAGGAAGACAAAAATAATAGTTGCTAGATAAATTAAGCACATTGTATCTAAATAAAATCCAAATGCGCTTCCTCCACCCAAGTAACCGTACCACGCAGACGTGTGCAAATCCTAAAACAAAGATAAGCACTTTTATTACAGCATTTTCCCGTTACATTACATTTTAGTTGGAATAAGGCATCATCAAGTTAAAGAGGAAAAAATTGGATGTAGCAAATGGTTTGATGATGCAAAGGATGAATGATTAATGGAGATTTGTTTTTTTTTTTTTTTGCTAAATCGTTTAGTGTCCGATTGTAGTGCACATAAGTTAAAATGAATTCCAATACATCATTTTTCTTTAAAAGATAATTAGACATCAATTTGTCAATAACCGATACTGACTTTAGAGCCATTAAAGTTTGACATAACTATCTTTTTTATTTTATGTTTAAATTAATTTTTAATCTAAACAAAAAATATTCCACTTTTGGATACACTAAGATTCGTAAGCTACGTAAGTTTACAAGCAAGATAGTCATATTACAAAAGTTAAATCCAATGAGCAGTATCAACTAACCTGATGTCCGTCGAAGTCACCAATTAGGCGATTTTGAGCATCGCAACATCTTATAGTAGCAATCCCATTCAGCGACGACGTAACCACACCAAACACAGGACTTTTTGCTAGAAAAGAAATTTTTCGCCATTAGTCGCAAAAATCTATTTTATTCTTCATACAGAGCTCGTCAAGACGTAACAGGCGCACAGTAAAAAATATTTTCGCACTTATTTTTCTCTTTAATTTTTGATAATCTTCCATTAAATATGGGTGAAGTTAATATATAAATAAATTATATTTATGTAGAAAAACTAGATCACTACATTTTTCCACAGATTTCAGTCCAATTATAAACAGTAGTCCATTTTTTATCTCTACCGCTTGTAAAGTAGCTAAGAACATTTGTTTCATCATCTAAAGAGGAAATCCAGATTAAAAAGCTTTTAAATAATCTTTCGGCTTAATTGTCAGTTTATGGAAATTCGTTGTGGTGTTTAATTTTTTAAGGCAGTTTAGTTATTTCTTTTTATAATTTTTGTTTATTTAATATCATGTGAACGGTTGCATTGATATCATCTCATTGAAATATAAAATTTATTACTTACTGACACTTTCGAGTCGCTTAATTCCTTGAGCAGCTTTTAAATAGAGTTTAACGAAAAACACAAAGAATGTCAGTAGTACTATTGAAGGTATTAATGTCCAATACAACGCTATAGCATTAAGGACGAGTATTGCGCCCAAAGTTCCAAAGATTTGCAGAACATCAAGCAGAGTTCTAGGTAATATCTCATCTACTGCGCCCATATCCTTGGTAAAACGATTAAGTATCCGACCTGGAAACAAGGAATTATTAGTAAAATTTTAATTCCTAAGACACAGACGTGGTGGCCGAATAGCCGGGCCATTGTACGTCATACACAGCACAAGCAAGCACGTCACCGTCCATTGGGCACAAACGTAATCAGATGTCTCATTGTATAAAATACCCTTTATTTCAAATAATTTTTAACGAAAACAATCTTACCCGAAGAACTGGTGTCAAAGAAACGCATGATCCCCTTTATCATTGTGGAAAACATCATGTCGTGCAATTTTTTCGAAGCGTTAATAACTAACTGAACAAAAGGTATGGCTCGGAGGTTGGTGAACAAAACAATGATCAAAACCAAGCAGCCATGTATGATCAAATATTGGCCAGTTGTCAGGGCACCGACCTGCACATCTAATCCCGGTTCTGAAATTACAGGATCGTGTGTCAAATAACTCTGGTATACGTACACTTCAACTTAAAGTAATAGATGTATTATTATAAATTACAGCACATAATTATTTTATTCTAACCTCTTTGATTGAATGTAAAAAATAACATTGAAGGAAAGTTCTTACCCATTTCCGCATCCCCTACCGAATCTTCGTATTCTGCCATTTGGTTAGACCTGAAATAGGCAAAAATAAAAAAGAATACTAAATCCCGTTAAGTTAATGGTTAGGATTTTAAATATTTTATTAATATTTTCATATCCACACGATACATATGTTACGCTCCTGTCAAAACACAAATAGCTTTATATACTAACTGCAAATGTTAGAAGTAGAATAAATATAGCTAGTGTTAATATAAAGTTATAACAACTTATGATTATCATAGATAATGATAAAATACACAGTAGTAGGGCTTACCAGAAGCTGACCCAGTAATCCGTGGCACCAGCTGCTGCAGACGCAAGGAATATCGCAAAGAACGTGAAAATTATAAAGAAAATACTGCCGCCGGACTTAAAATACATCGTGATAACTTCCCAACGAAGATTCCCAGATTGTCTCTCTTCTGCAGCCATTTTCTGTTCTTCAAATTGCTCTAGCTCTTCTCCTTCATTTATCGACACTGCCCTTAAATACTTGGGGTTCTCCTTTTCCTCCATTTTCTGTGAAATTAAATAGGAAAAAAATGATATCTGTTCCTTGTGGATGTACCATAATAATAATAAGTACTAAATGACAGACAAACTTGATATTGTTTTTAAATATATATGATAATTGTATAAATTTTGTGTGAAGCCAATCTGTGACGGGCAAGTGACTGGCTGGCTGGGCTGGTAAAGAGTATACCCCATGTTATAGGCACTTACTATAACTACCGATGTTACAGGTTTCTTTAAAAACAGGTCGCAAGGCTGCATTCAACTTCTTTTACTCATTTACCAAAAACGGGTAAAATGTTAAGAGCGTGTGTGTGTGTGTATATGCATAACAGTATATCTGACATATGGCCGTTTTAGAAAACATAGTCTTTTCTTCTGTTTAAGATTTGTCGCTCGCAGAGCTTTCCCAAGCAATTGAGTAGGCTGATAGGTTGATAGTTAGAGGGCTTGTTAGCGGGCTAGTTTGCCTTGCAAATGCCGATGACGGTGGCCTCTTTTCAGCCGTCCGGAAAGAGGATCTGGAGAGAAGCGTGTTAAAATCGACACCAGCATGCGGTTAAACAGCCCAGGGAGGGTTTTTATCCGTAGGTCGGGCGGAAATATAAACCGTCGGGCGACCGAATAAAAGTCAAAAGAACAAAACGAAAATCAGTTTTACACAAATATCTTGCGACCTACTGCTCGGAGATTAATTGATTCTCGGAAACGACGAATGGGGCTTTATACACATATATATATATTTATATACACAACAGGCGCCGAGGCTGCAGGTGTAAAAATCCCCATTCGTCATATATATATGCACGTATTTAAATTAAATCATATAATTACATAATTAAATATTAAATTAACTCTGAATCTATTCTTACGGATTAGACAAATCACAACAGAGAAAATCAAATTTATTGCAGTGCCAAAATAAAGCAAACTCAAAAACTAAAGTCAAGTAAAAAAGTCTATCGTGTCGGTCGTACAAATGTCTATTACTTACTGTAACCAATTTGTTTTCTGCGTCTTTGTCTTTTCCTTCTTGTAAAGAGTTCATCAATGAAGCAAAGTCTGCATTAGACGACACCAAATCATCGAAAGTCCCCATATTTTGGATGCCACCCTGAAATAAGATAAGTCATATAAGTAATAACAGTAAAAATGAGAGGATGTTTTTTTGGCTGCATCCCTTATATGAAAGCAATATTTCTAACGAATAACACGAAAACAAAGTTCCCAGACTTTTCTTCAACAATAATAAAGAGATGTTTTTAGGTGACTGCCTGCAAACATAATAAAAAAAAACAAACCTCGCTTAAAACAATGATGAAATCAGCGGCTTTGAGGAAGTGTATCTGATGAGTGACTAATATCCTCGTGCGTCCACTGAGGTAGCCATTAATGCAGCCCTCAAACAGCTGTCGACCCACATTTGCGTCCACGGCGGACAATGGATCATCCAGAAGGTAAACATCAGCCTAAAAAATAAAAATTATCATTGTGCACTAATAATATTATGTAAAACAATATCCATTCCATTCGAATTCTACATGAGAACGCTATATATATATATATATATATATATATAGACTATCAAATAAAGAACACAATTTTAAGTTAATACAGCAGCGCTAGTTCCAAACTTGAACAGTTCAAATATGTAGGTAATTTAGTTTTAGTTGCTTTTAGTTACCACCCGCTCCTGGATTCAACAACAAACAAACGTATAAAATACAAACTTCTGATAACCGCATACAGCCATAAGACACATTTTTATTTTTTATTTTCAATTTTTTATTTATAGTCTAATATCATCATCATCATCATCATCATTTCAGAATATTAAAGTCCACTGCTGAACACAGGCCTCCCCACAGACTGCCACGAAACACGATCCAGAGCCACCGGCATCCACCGACTTCCCGCACACTTGCACTGCAATGGTAGTATAGTTGCCGATTGTGTATTCGCTTAATATTTTCGAACAAATAAAAAATCAATTACTTCTCTGTAGACGGCGCGGGCCAAATTGATTCGGGCCCGCTGACCCCCTGAGAGGGATACACCCCTCTCACCCACAAGAGTTTGATCGCCGTAAGGAAACTGTTTGAAATCCTTTTCCAGAGAGCAAGCCCGACAAACCTGGAAAATATGAGCTTATCATTTTTACAGTGAACTAATAATTTCGCAACATTGAAAAAACAACTATTGTTACCCTTTTATCTTAAAACGTATACTATATTTTAAGATATACATTGATTATACACTATTTTAATTGCCAACGAACATAACTTTATAAGTAATAGATAAAAAAATATTTGAAACATTTTCTATATTTTTTTAACTGCGTATAAAAGCAAATTACTATAAAAACTGAGACGTATATCAGATATTAAAAATACTCACTTGTTTGTATTTCTCCTTGTCGTAAGGCAAGCCGAATAAAATGTTTTCTCTAACTGTACTCGGAAACAGCCACGCCTCTTGGCAAGCGTACGAGACTTTTCCGTACACGGAAATGCTGCCGGTTGCCGCAGGCAATTCTTTCAGTAGTAGTTGCAAGATAGAGGACTGGATGCGAAAAGATGTATCATAAGTTTCGTAGATTCACATGGATACCTAGTGGATTGTTAAATAATGAAATAGAAATAGATAGCCCATTTTCTTTAATGGGTCGGTTTATGACACGTTGATTCAACATTTTCTCTTTTGACCTGTAAGTGCCATTCTCATTAAGCAAAAAAATAGTTCTTTACTGTCCGGCTAATATGACACTTAGGACGTGGTACTTATCCGGATGGACCTGCCCATTCATTCAACAGTGATGACTGTTGCGTGGTTCTAACACAGAAAAATTGTAAACACTCATCTCCCACTTAGGTGACATCTCGGTTTGGAAACTTATGAAAATCTTGAAGACACTATTGAGATCAAATGCGCTACGATTAATTTTAGTAAATACTGATTTTAATAATAATCAATAAGTAAAAATAAAATAATGCATGTACTTTTCACCATGACAATGGTTGACTGGTAGGGAATGCCATTACGCATAAGTTCGCCTATTATAGCCCTTAGCTAAAGGTGAAGCTTAAATAAATAAATAATGCATGTGATAATAAATAATATCTTGTCCAACTGCACCTCACGTGAGTTTCGTGACTTTTTGCCTTGCGATGGTCCGCTTTTAGGATGCAACTTTTTGATATTCATTTGTTTCTATGATATCATAATATACTACGAATGCTAAATGTTCTCATAATTATGTAATGCAAAACAAAGAAAAGGCGTCCCTCATACCTTGCCTGACCCCACGGCCCCTATGATTGCGCAAAGCTTTCCTTTGCGTATGCGTACGGAGATATTCTTCAGTGCCAAGAAATTCGGGTCACCAGTCCAACTGGCGCTTACGTCCCGCAATTCTACCGCCATGTCGAAACAAGGCTGCGACAGGCTCCTTCTAAATATCCTATCCTTCCTCAAAGGACCTTTAACAAACAACAACAAATAATTAGTTGAAGCGTGCAAAATGTGCTCACTGTACCGTGATCAGTCACCGAATGTTTATATAGTTTTTTGTGGATTACTTTATTGTGATATTCTTTTTTTTTTATTTATTTCGGATCGCAAACAGAACATTACACTTGAACATTTTCTATAGATACAAGTTTAACAAAAATATATATATTACATAAGTGAATATTCCACTATAAGCGTACACATCATGTACATCTTCTTCATCATCTATTCATTTAAATTGTCAATAAATAGCATTATCTTACATTTTTATAAGACATTATTAAACGAAAGTTTTTCTTATGAAAACATTGACTTTTTTATCTGAAAAATTGACAAGCGAACAGGCGATTCACCTGATGTTAAGCGAATACCGCCGCCCATGGACATCTGCTACACCCAAGGGTTACAGATGCGTTGACAACCTTTTGAAAATTAGGCTCCAGCTACCTCACTCACCAGATTTGTCACACTTCCACTTTACGCCAGTCTTTTGTGAGGTCGTGGAACTTACCTGGACGAGCCTGCCCATTCGTGCAACAGCCGAGGCGGCCGCGTGTCCCTACCACAGTTAAATTCTAAACGTTATTCTATTTGTCAATTTATCGTCAAAAGCATAAGCTTTAAAATGGTGTTTAAATTTCTATTTGTTGAAGAATTATGGAAGTTATGTTGTTCCAACAAAAAAGCACCTTTGAGGAATAATATATTGAGATATTGGAGTAAAAGACCTTCCTTACCTTCCATTGAAAATAATTCTGAATATGGTTGGTAAGAAAGAGGTCTAACAGAGGAGTCCTTGGGGTCTTTCAAGCTTGATATATTCCGGAACAGTTTTGATTGTGGTACCGTCGTATCATTAAAGTCGAAACGGTCCTCTGTAAATTAAATGACGAGTTCATACTTCTATACATGTTTGTGGATAACGACGTATGTTAACCCATTTGTACGAAAAGTAATTAACAAAGTATTTATGATAATATATGTAAAAAGATAGCTAAAATTTAGTCGAAATAACTTGTGTGAATGCTGATGTTAACATTATCTACTAACTTACCAAGTATTAGAAATTCTTCTACTCTCTTCAGTGAAACCAGTAATTCAATGGTAAATGTTAACACTAGAGGTAAAATTAACGTTATGTTTAATTGCGCGGCATTCATAAATTGTTGCAAAGGGTAAATCTGAAAATAAAAAATCAAACACATATGAATCGCTATTTTTCGTTTTAGTGTAGTCAAATATTTAATATAAATATGTATGCGTACATTGAAACTAGAATTTATTTTTATGGGTTTGCATTAAACAAAACAAAGGAAAACAATAAATTAAAATTAAAACAGGGAATCCACACAACAGGCTTATAACTTTTGGTCTTCATTCAGAATTTTTTTTGGTAAGCAAGCATGCGATTGCATGATCGATACCAACCTTCAAAAGAGTGGCCTGAGTTTACTTCACTCTCCAGATAAAACACAAAAGTATAGTACTTCCAATTGACACAAGCCTTCTAATATACCATGGAACTTCCCCGAACGAACCTTATAATTTACGTATTTCTTTATGGATTCCCTGCCACCGAATTGAGGTGTCAGAAATATGTGGGAGCCACGGTTGCGTGGACCTACCATACTTTTTTATACTGGTTTAAATAAATTCAAAATATTGAAAGTAGAGTTGAAGTAACTTTGCAATCATACATATATATAAAACACAGCTTGCTCATCATCTGAATTACTTTGTGCAATGCAATGTTTAGTATTTGTTTCTATATTTTTTGGCAAACTTATTTTTAAACCCCGACATTAACAGAAAGACACGTCAAACTTATAAAAAACCCTCTTGGTTTTATAACTTTGACGTGTCTGTCTGTGTATTTGTCAGTCTGTCTGTCTGTGGCATCTTAGCTTCGAAACTAATGGACCGATTATGATACGTTTTTTTTTTTTCAGTTTGAAAGCTAATTGTAAACTAGGCGGTTTTTAGCCATGATTTAAATCTATTTATTTAGCTCATTTCCTACTTGACAAAAAGGCTCTTATTAATTTTCACAAATCCGATTATTATTACTTTTTATAGCTTTGTTTGTAAAAAGTTAAGAAATCCCCCAAATTACTTAATTTTTTTAATTTTATATTATTCGGTTATCAATCCCTTACTGTAAGTGTTTTTTTATATTTGCATGGATGTTATTTCCTTCTTTTATTCATTTACAGTTTTTTCCTCGTTTATATTCATGTTCATGTTCCTGAGTGCAATGCCTTGTTATGTTTATTCGATATTGTTTCCTTAACTCACTATAAGTTTATTGTGATTTGATTTATTATAAATTTATTTGGATGATATTGTTTCGTTGATAGACTTTTCTTTTTTATTCTTTCAATATTTTTACTTAGTTGAATCTATTTGTGGAATTGCAATAGTTGGCTGTAATTAAGATTGCATTACCTCTTCCTCTTAGGAATTGACTTACAATAATTTTGACTTACTAAAGATTGAATAAAATTTCTTATTTTTTTATTTATTTAATAAATGGAGCATTCCAAGTGAGAGGATGTGTCAAATGAGGAGGGAAAATTAAAAAAATAAAGAAATGTAAATGTATATATAGAGGCGTCTTATTTCACTGAAAGTTCGCAAAAGTACTCGCTGCAAAGAACTATATATCGTTATAATTGTTTTTGTAGAAATTAAAGTAAATTAACAGCCTACACATGTCCCACTGCTGGGCAAAGGTCTCCTCTACACAGAGGGTATTTGTAGTAATACTTGATTATTTTATATGCATGTGAATTATTGTATCTTTTTTATTTATTTATTTAAGTTTATAAGTTCCTTATTTTTGTAAAAATAAATTACTGCGATACGAATGCATAGAGTAAAAGGATATTTTTATTTTATTTATTAAACACATACCACATTCGCAGTCATGACATTTCCCAATAATACAAGAGCAAGAACTGTTACAAAAAGGGCTGCTCTCTCTGTAAACAGCATAAATCCGAGGAAAATTACTCTTAAGATAGAAGCTACTCTTATTTCTTTCAGTTCGTCCATTCGCTTTTGACCAACTACTTTTTGAAATGGAATTTCCCAAGCGTACATTTTAATAACCTGAAAAGAAAATGTTTTTTGTATATGAAATTATGGAAAACTATAAATTTCGCTTGATCGCAACATCAGAGGGATAGCATATATTTATATAAATGTAATGTTTTACATGAATAATGAATAAATAAATTCCATCAATTAAAGCAATACAGTACATACAATCTAAAAAATACAGAGTAAGTTGAGTACACATAATAAACGGATAAAACAACGAAGTTATCAAGCTTTATAATTATACTTGATCAAATATCGTTTACCTGTATGCCGTTAATAACTTCACTCATCAATTTAACACGTTCATCAGTTTTTTCTGCCGTCCGAAATCTTATTTTACCAAGATATTGTCCAAGACCACCTGTAAGGCAAAAAATTTAACATTGTGTTAAGTTATCACTATATTTTTGGCTCATAATTTATCTGTTTAGATGCGTGAGAGTCATATGATATTCATTTCACAGTTATAATTTAATAAACTAACAACTGTGGACAAGATTGAATGATATGCATTTTCAGTGAATTAGGACGGTGACTGCGGTAGGGCGACGCAGCAGCCTCGGCTGTTGCACGAATGGGCAGGCTCGTCCGGGTAAGTACCACGACCTCACAGAAGACCGGCGTAGAAGACCTAAAGTGGAAGTATAATACGAGTAGTAATATACTTTTGCGATATAAGAAGTATGTAATATACTTTTGCGTTTCGTCTGGTGGGTGAGGTAGCCGGAGTCAAAAAAAAGGTTGTCATCTGCAACCCTCGGGTGTAGCATATGTCCATGGGCGGCGATATTCACTTAACGTGAACCGCCAGCTCGCTTGGGACCCTTACCTTTCTCCTCATTTTAAGTAGAGAAAAAGGAGGATGAATACTACTTTCATGGTGGACATAACGTTTGGGTCCCGAACATGTATAAAATAATAGTATTATCATCTATAAATAAAAGAAATTGGTGATTAATTAGATAGAACGCAATTTCATTAACCTTGTATTGGCAACGCGATGATAATTAAAGCCGCCAACCCGATGAGAGCAGCACTACCGGCTTGCATATAGCCAAGGTAGCACACCGCGACTAACTGGATTGGAATAATCCATGTATAATGGAGGAAAAGGAAAGCTAAATCGAAGCGTTGGAGATCGTTAGACAAGATGTTCACTACTTTTCCGGCGGTCGTCTCTCCTAACGAGCCGTTGTTCATCCGCATGATCTGGAAAAACGTACACAATTTTACGATTAACCGAAAAAAACTTAATCTAGCATGTTTAATGACATTGCCTTCGATATGCAGTAATTGAAAATGCGCATATGCAATAAGGTTTCACAAGGGACGCACCTGGGAAAGTGTTTTACGTATCGGTTATAAATTTCGATTGTGTTTTGGTGTAACAATGTCAGTGGAGTATCATAGCAATCAGCTTGAGTGTACATGAGGACATAATTGAAGTGTAAATGCAATATGCATAGAAACATTATCAAATGCTAACACTCACCTTTCTGAACATCAAAGAACTGACAGCGACTCTCAACTTCATGCCGAATTGCTGGCTCAGAAAATTGCCGTGATGACCCATGAAGGCAGCCAGCCAATTGCATAATATCATTCCGATGGCGTAATAAGTAGCGGTCTCCCTACTTGTTGTTGAATTTACGGACCAGAAATTAAGCAACTCCGAGAAGAGAAGTGGCGTCGTCGTCCTATTGTAACAGTGAACACTCAATTATTGTTTTTCTATTATTCGAGCAAACGATGCATTTTTTCATTTACAAATCGCCTCTAGACTGTACTAAAACTCTGAAACGATTGTTTGAAATAAAACTCAACATTGCATGCACTGACGTCTTTTCCGCATTGCCACAACAACCGAGGTCATATATCAGTCGTCGGCGAATTGAACAAACCATATTCTATTCATTTGTTCCACTTCAGAGGATTACGTAATTTATAAACGAAGTATAACAATCATTTGATAACACAAGAGTTACATGGTCATAAAACATGCGCTGTCATGAAATTAAGTCAATGTTTTACATGAAAAAGTAAATTGATATTGAATAAAAACTCGTAATAAAACTTGAAAAACAAGTTGTCGGTTCTCATCAACACATACGTACTTGGTACCACAGTGACCTTATATTTTTACATAACACCTTAATATTATTCATTTTAAATCATGTGCAAAATATAGTGGTCTATGTTTCGTTAACAAATTCAGTTTTTGCTCCTATTGTTAGTGGATTTAAACAGAGTTTGAGCATGTAGTTTTAGTTTATCATTCGCATTGTTATTTGTGAATTTATACAAGTCATTACAATTTTTAGTAACGAGTATAAGACATAGCTCAAAAGATTAGTTGCAGTGGCCCTGGGCGCGCCATATTCCTCATAGAACCTAAAACCGATGGGAAGACAGGTTTTCGTGTGGCAGCCTCGTATTGGCCAACGCGGTGTCGGACGATCCCTCACTAGTTGGAAGTGCCGACCTGTGCAAATATGCGGGAAGTCGACGAATACAGGCCGCTCGGTACTGTGCTTCGGTCTGTGGGGGAGACCTATGTTCAACAGTGGACGTAAACAGTTATATAATACGCAGTTAATTAATTCATAAATACCAAGAAATAATTACAAGTGATTTTTACAATTTAAACGCCACGATATTTTACGGAATAAAATAAAGTAAAACATTTTAAAAGTTATATCGTTTGTCTTAAGCTATATCTTAAGATAACAAATCATCATCATAGTTAGCCTATCGCAGTCTACTGCTGGACGTAGGCTTCTGCTATATGCTAAAGATGACTTGAATCTTGTACAATCTCTACGAAGATCGTTGCTCCATCTTGTCCTACACTACGTTTATTAATAACTTGAGAATATAAAGTTATGGTAATTGGACCAACTGAATTTACATATTTATTTTAATATGAAAACATTTTATTGGATCAGTGTAACTTTGATTAAGATAATAAGAAGGAAGCTGAATCTAATTTAGTAATATTAAACATTTAGTTCATGATCTTACTTACCGAATGCCAACTGACAGAAATTGAATAATCCCAGCAGGAATAAATGACCAAAAAAAGGTTCTTCTTAAAGTGCCAATGAACGATGGCTTTCTACCGGCAGCCTTGGCAGCCGCCTCTTCTAATAACCAATTTCTGAAACAATACGTGTATATCTAATATATAAAATTCTCGTGTCACGGTGTTTGTAATTGAACTCCTCCGAAACGGCTCGACCGATTTTCGTGAAATTTTGTGTGCATATCGGCCAGGATGGAGAATCGAACAAAATCTATTTTTTATCCTCCTAAATGTTAAGGGTGGTCCACCCTTAAATTTTTTTCTACCCTACAATTAATATATATGGTAAAACAACGTTTGCTGAGTCAGCTAATCTATGTATATATCTTAAAACCTAATAACTACATCGCTAATGAATTATTAATAAATTTCTAAAAACTAAAATCAGTATTAATTTAGGTAAAGACAACTACAACAAAATTGTGGGGAACAAAGTATATGCGCATTTTCATTTTTCATCTGCTTGATTTATCATCGTCTGAACTCTACTCGGCTACTGTCCCATATTAGTTGTTAAGCTAACTATGCCTGCATACCATTGATGAAAATGCATCAAAAAGTTTTGCTTTAAAACATAGAAAATACCGAATAGCAAACAAAAGAATTGAGAACAATTGACGAAAGCGACATTGGAACAGAACGTTTACAAGTCAAGTAAATCCCATACACACCATCTAGAACGTAACGAAAAGAAAATCAAGATGCTAGATACTCTACGCCCATTTGGGAATTTGCTTTATTGTATCCAAGGGCTCAATGAGTCCAAAGCAGCTTACAACATATAAGCGTACTTGAGCTTTATACTTGGTTCTTGTGTGAAGTGCAATAGAGCGTTTACGCGCTGCAACTATATTAGCACACTGGTTTAGTGTTAATAACCCGAAATAAGTTTGGCTATCATTGTAGGTGGTCTGATATTACAATGATGAACTTCGAATAGTAGGCCAAGGTCTTACTCATGTCAAGTTCCCTCTTATTGTAAGGCTCTGCTCCATTGTTGAAACTGCAACACGTTATTGTTCAAACTATTAATTCATACTTTAGAAATGAATCGTTATTATCATTATGTATGCAATTCGTCTTTTACCAACATAATTTACTTACTTTATGTACAATGTTTAATTAATAAATAAATGATTATAATCGATATAGTGAAACCTGAACAGCAAAAGAAATCCAGAAACTCTGTTACTTTTGTTTTAACATAATAAGTGAAGTTTGGATGGAGTTATATTGAGACAGCGATTAAAAAAATTGACGCGATTAGAAAAACTGAATTTCAAAAAAGTAATAACACAATGTTATAATAAAAACTTATTATACACATTAATAATATTACGTTTTTTGTAACTGTCGAAATTAAAAGTTCGAGGTTTATCTTATCCTTTAAACGAGCAATTCTTGTATATATATATATATATATATACATATATATATATATGTATATATATATATACATATATATATATGTATATATATATATATATATATATATATATATATATATATATATATATATATATAATCGGAATCTCGGAAACGACTCCAGCGATTTTGTTATTTTTTTCCCTTTTATTTTAAAGTTCTTTCTTTTGTGAAAAACATCAGTTCATATTTTCTTATTATTAAGTCGGTAAGATCGAAAAATGTTATGCATATTTCATTACTCAGTAATTCGTATCTAAATGTAATTTCAAAAATACACGATTTACGAAAATAAAAAAAAAAACCGAGCAAAGCTCGGTCCTCCGGGTACTATATAATAATATAAAAAGTCTAATATTGAAACTTATAGAATAAAGCAATGTACTGTAAAAGTTTGTAAGTATGTATGCTACTCTAAAATAGAACACTTTTGAAAATGCATCACTTTGCATACATTATATAGAATTAAAGTAGAGCTGTATGCAACAGCATATATAATTCCCACTACTGGACAGAGATCTCCTCTCTGAAGAGAATATTAGGGCAAAGCCCATCTCTTGATTTTTCCGCGATTGGCAAACTTCGCATATAATACACAGATGTTTCTCACGATGTTTTTCTTCGCGTTTGAGCGCGCGATGAGTCAGCATTAATAGCAATTAACGATTTTATTTGCATTGGATTAAACCTCAGGTTGTCGGAGTGTAATACTCTCACTCTGCTCACTTTCAAGTCTATAATATATAAATAGACTTGAAAGCGAGCGCTCGGACACTGACCTATAACGGGCCAAAATCACTGTTTTACTGTGTTTTTGCTGATGTAATGTTAATAAGCTTAATTACAACAAATGCAAGCGTGGTTATACAGATAAATAAAATAAGATAAATAAATATTTCCTGACAAGATTTTACACTTCATATAGACCCAGTAAACAAAGCTTATATGATAAACATATTTCATTTATTATAGATAAATCACCCAGACACTGGAAAAACACTATTATCTTCACATAATGTTTTCCAGTAGAACAACGTCCTGGACAAAAGAACCCTCGTTTTCTGGCGTAAGTGACAGCACCACTATCCACTGTGCGCATTTCGTCATATAGGACAACATCGGACACAAAACAAATTTTATCTCCAGTGAACTACGTGCCTCCGTACCCTAGCTTATTACCAAATTTTTCTAAAACGTGTCTAAACAAGTTTTAAGCCATTCGGACCTACCGCGTCAACCTTTGACATTTTGTAACTCATTGAGAGGATGGCCCACATCTCATCTGACATACCACAAACGAGTTCGGCCCAATACAACTTTAGTTCGACTGGGTTAAGAACAACTTTATCGATTCGGGTTTATAGCAATGTACATTAAGAATGGCATTTGTAAGTATAGTAATATAGACGTTTTCGTAGTGGATATTTAAGATTAAAATAGTGTTCAAACTTAAATATTACATACATATCACATATAGTTTTTAGAGAATAGATTCTAAAGGTAATTTAGGTATGAGCAAAAGCAGGTATATATATTTTGAAGTAGCGGAAGAAATGAAAGAAGTAAAAGAATTATGCAATATTTAGATACGATTGCACAGTAAATAATATTTGTTGTTATATTCATAGGGGTCGACCAGTGATCGAAATTCGACCGTGATACAAGTTAACGATTAAATTAAACTTTTCTTCCTATTGAGTCATTCACCAAAATAAATTTTTGTATTAAAATTAAAATCTATGCCTTCTCGTGCGACTGTTCGTATACAATTTTTTAAATGTTTAAGATTAATAGATATTTCTATTTATATAAAAATAAACCCTAATTGTCTGCCAACATATGGGTTAATGGTATTCGCTAGGTTTTTTGCGACCGGCCGCCTGGATGTCTCACGCCAACCCTCCTTGGGAACAAACACCCAGATCTGGAACAGTTGCCTGTGAGTCACACAAACCCTTATAATAATAATAATAACATATCTTTATTCACATAGACGCTTGCGCGTTCTTATGAAACGTCAAAATTTTACAAGAAATTAACACGTTCGTAAGTTACCACCGGTTCGGAAAGCAGTTTCTGTTGAGAAGAAACCGGCAAGAAACTCAACAGTTGCTCTTTTTAAAAAAAATCAGTTTACAATATAATAGTACATGTACAATAGTCTTGTTTTAGCCTACGTGAGTATCAACAGTATTAACCCCACACATTGGCGTCGTCAAGATATTCGGCAATAGAATAATAGGCTTTAGCCATAAGTTTACTTTTAATTTTTCGTTTAAATTCATCAAGTGGCAGATTTAATATCGACTGTGGGATTTTATTATACATGCGCACACCTTGCCCCATGAACGACCTGTTTACTTTTTGTAAACGAAACAATGGCGTAGTTAGTTTGTCCTTATTTCTAGTATTTAATTTATGTCTGTCACTATTCTTTAGATAACTATTAATATTATTTTTAACATACAAAATATTACAATAAATATATTGAGACGCAACAGTGAGTATATTAATCTCTTTAAAAAGGTCTCTGAGTGTATTCCGGGCTCCGATGTTATAGATTGCTCGGACAGCTCTTTTTTGAAGAATAAATATAGAATTTATATCAGATGCACTACCCCACAACAAAATGCCGTAAGACAAGATGCTGTGGAAATAACTGAAATAAACAAGTCTGGCAGTGTCGATGTCTGATAGCTGCCTAACCTTCCTAATTGCAAAAACAGCGGAGCTTAACCTGTTCGCAAGAGATAATAGATGGGGACTCCATTGGAGCATTGAATCCACTGTAATTCCCAAGAATACAGCGGACTCAACAGGATTAAGGGTTACGCTATTTAATGTTAAGCTAAAACTTCGCCTTCTTACGCTGGGAAGGGTAAAAAGAAGGCATTTAGTTTTTTTAGCATTTAACACCATATTATTAACGGTAAACCAGTGGAGGATAAGCGAAAGTGCACTATTCACGTCGTCATAATCCGACACGTTTCGGTCAACCTTAAAAATGAGCGATGTGTCGTCAGCAAACAGTACAACATTACATAACTCACTGGCATAAAAGGGGAGATCATTTATATACACTAAAAATAATAATGGACCCAAGATTGATCCTTGTGGGACACCCATTTTCATGGGGGACCCTGTGGAATTTACATCATTTATAGATACTTTTTGAATTCTATTATTAAGGTAAGAGGCAATGAGATTGAGGGCGATGTCACGAATGCCATAATAATCTAACTTTTGAAGGAGGGTTTCGTGGTCTACACAGTCGAAAGCCTTTGAAAGGTCGCAAAAGACACCTATTGCATCTTGTGACCTTACCCAGGCGTTATAAATATGCTTGACAAGTCGACACCCGCATCCGTTGTCGATCTGCCTTTAGTGAATCCATATTGCTCATTGTGGAAAATTTTGTTCATATTAAAATGTACTAAGAGTTGATTTAAAATTAGTTTTTCAAAAATTTTACTCAGAGATGGCAATATGGAGATAGGTCTGTAATTTCCTGGATCATTTTTATCCCCACTTTTGAAAACGGGGATTATCTTACTGAATTTCATAAGATCTGGAAATATTCCAGAATCTATACATTTGTTAAAAATATTTGCCAAATATGGTGCAATATACGGCATTATTGTACTCATTAA